CAAAGGTTAAGATGGACGGGGCATGTAACTCAGAGCAATTTATCTGCAAGCCTCTACATAATAATGAATGCCTCAATAGAAGGCAAAAGAACAAGTGGAGGGGCAAAAAGCAGAAGGATAGATAGAATCAACAAAGATGCAACAGAGCTGTGCGCAGATAAATGGAAAGAAATAGCCCAAGACAGGCAAAGATGGAGCAGGCTTGTTAAGGCAGCAAAAGATCTACATGGTCTGTAATGACAACAGAAAAAAAAAATCCTGTTTTATTAAAAAGGATCCAATAAATTCTCATTTGGACACCCTAAACTTCGCTGAAAGGATTGAGTGGCTACTGAAGGCAAGGTCTGGAAATCTGACTTGGAGTCTGGAAATGAAAGGTAGCGGCAGGAAACTGAGAGAAATGGCGATCTATAATAGGGTAGGCTTTGACTCAATAAGTGGGTCGTAACGCCATCTAATAATATTAATAATAATACCTTTGGCTCAGTTCCACACAGCTACTTAAAGTACTAGATATATACAAGGTTGAATCTAAAGTAAGCAGGCTCCTTTCAGACATAATGACAAAATGGAAAACTAAGCTGAAAGTTGGAACTATCTGCACAGGGAATCGAATTAAAATATTGAGAGGAATATACCAAGGGGGTTGTCTAAGCCCCTTATTGTTTTGTTTGGCTTTCTTTCCACTAAGCAGGATTCTTTGAAAGAACGAGATGGGATACAAACTCATCATCAACGACGAAGCCACCACAGCTAGTACATGGGTGACCTTAAACTATATGCCAAAAACAAAGACCAATTACAAAGTATGGTTGAAGCCGTTTCATCTTTTACTAGTGACATAGGCAAGTCACTTGGTCTGGATAAATGTGCAGTGGTCCATGTAACCAAAAGAAAAGTGATTAGTATGCACAATATTCTAATCAATGAAAAAGAGTACATCAAGAAGCTTCACGACAATAAGTTATATAAATACCTGGGCATGCAACAAGATCTTAAAATTGCAAAAACATGCTACAAGACCTTCTAACAATGTTCAAAATTAGATTACGGAAAGTTCTCAAAACCCAGCTAACTGAGAAACAAAAAATCAAGGCTATTAATACCTGGGCAATACCTGCTCTTTTATAGTTTCGGCATATTGCACTGGTCAAACACAAGGTTGAACAGAATCTACAGGAGATCGACTGCCTTGTGCGAATGACTCTCACACAAGAACGGATCCACCACCCAACATCCTACAAAGCTCGTCTATATTAACCTAGGAAAGAAGGAGGACGTGGTTTGCTAAATATCAAAGAAGCTTGCCGCAAGCAGCAAGTGGTCTTACGCCGACACTTTCTTACAAAAACAACTGAGGTTTACCTCACAATCTCAATTATGGCTACTAGATCATGTAGAAGGCATGTTATAAAAGATGCAACAACTACGGACAAATGTTGATTATGCTCAGCGATGCTGGAATCAATCAAACATATCACAGGTGGGTGTGGAGTGTTAGCTGGCATCGAGTAGAGGCATGACAATGTGGCTAAAATTTTTCACCAGGCTCTGGCGGTGGAACTCAACTTATTAGATGATAAAACTCCATATTATAAGTACCACCCAAATAAACTCCTCCAAAAAGGTAGTCTCAAGCTCTATTGGGATGAATAGATTATTTCTGACCATACTGTGTGTGACAATAACCAGATATCTTCCTGATAGATATGAGAGAGAAAAAAGCAGAGCTTATCGATGTCGGGATCCCCAATGATAATAATATAAGCTCCACTGTTGGAGAAAAACTGAGAAAATACCAGGAACTGGCAATCAAATTGAAGGAATTATATCATTTGGAGAACATCACCACCACTCCAATTATATTATCCTCCAATGGATTGATACCAAAGTCAACAGTGGCAGGTACGATGGGATTAAAATTACCTCTTGAAGTGCTGAAAGAGGCTCAACACTCAGTTCTCTTAGACACAGCACGTATTGTAAGAAAATTTGTATAAGTCTAAAAAAATAATAAATATTAATATGAAGGTGGCTCGACGGACTTCTGGTCTCCCACCTCAGAAATTCACCCCGCAAAGCGAGAATAAAGAAGGAAATAATAATACATTTTTATGAAATCATATAGTTCAACGATCCTTGAAGAAAGAATTCAGCTGGTATAATTTTAGTAAATAAACCATTAGTATCATTTCCCCAGTTTTTGAAAATCTGGAGCAGCTTTGACATACCAACCTAATTTTCAGTAGAAATTAATATAAAATAAAGTAACATAATAAATATAAACTTTACGAATATTACTTAATATAATATAAATATAAACATAGAACAACTAATACTAGATATGACAATTCTGTGCACAATCTATTTTTAATTTGTCGAGATGAAAATAAATGTTGAAGATTTCATTTAGCTTTGTGCTACTTCTCTCCATCTTCGAACGGCCCAACCTCAGATCGCCTTCCACATCCTCCAGCCCTCTGATCAAAGGGCGTTCTCTACTTCTTTTACCATCCGGCTTCTCATACAGCATCCTCTTTGGCATTCTTTCAACATGACCTAACCATCTTATCCTGGTTCCTTTTATCAATACCTCAATATCAGGATCTCCATAAAGTTGCCGCAACTGCTCATTCTTCCTTCTCCAAATTCCATCCTCAGAAATTCTGTCACATATTCTTCTCAATACTCTTTCTTTCCCAGCAGTTGAGCATTCTGAGTTGTTGGTTAAGGTCAAAGTCTCACCTCCTAACACTTTATGTATGTGTTAGGATGACCTTAACACCCTAGCCTCACTATGGTTTTGTAGATGAGGATTTTGATTCTTTTAGAGAGTGATCTATTTTTAACTTAATAGTTATAAAAAAAAAAAAAAATTAATAATAAATTATCGCTATAACACAGCATGAAAATCTAAAGGTTATTATGTTATGTAATACAGACTGCTTTATAAAAGAAAAAAAAAATGTATACCTATAGTACACTGTATTGACAAGAAATAATTATTGGGCTGTCTGGAAAATAATGCAGGATTTTGGTTTAAAAGGAAAAAAGAAAGATTTACCATTGCTTTAATTAATCAAAATAATATCCACTACTATCAATACATTTCTGCCAACGTGTTGGCAACTTTTCCATCCCCTTGAAATAGAATTTCTAATCTAGACTTGATAAACTCCAAAAACGCATTTTATAATTGCCTTTGTCAATTAAATTTTTTGTCACGTAAGTAGTGGTCTAGGTGCCTAAAAAGATGATCCGTAGGCGAGTGGTTCGGATAGTATGACGGATGTGTCTTGAGTTTCATATCCAAGCTCCAACAGTTTTTGTTGTCATGCAACAAAATGGGCCCCTTCCGATTGACTAAAGATGGATTCATTATTGCAAATTTCTGATGCATAGCATTAATTTGGTTACGATATGATTCAGAATTGATGGTTTCTTCAGGATTTAAGAAGCTGTAATGTATCAAACCAAATGAAGTCCACCAAACAATAACCATCACCTTTTTTTGATGAGTTAGGGGAAAATGTTCTGCTGTTTCTCCTTTGTAGAGCAACTATCCAGAACGTCTACTGTCATAGTAAAGTAACCACTTTTCATCACAAGTAATAATTCTGGACAGAAGTGTCATTTTTGTTTTGGCAAAGAAGTGTAACACAAAGTTCATAATGCAGACTTTTTTGGCGGTCGTTTAATGTGTGTGGAATCCAACTTTCAAGCTTTTTTATCTTTCAATCGCCTTGAGGTGGTCATCGACGATTGATTTGCTAAGATTAAGTTTCCCTGCAAGTTCTCGAACAGTTGTTCTGGGGTTTTCTTCCGAAATTATTTGAACCACCATTCAACAATGCAATCATTAATGCTGCTCTCGCCCCAGACTTGATTGATATTTCTGGCCATCTGGGTCCCATTGGGGCAAAGTTTAAACTCCTAAAACAAAATTATACGAAAACCACGCGTTGATATCTTAGTAAAGACTGAATTCCTGCAGGAAATGGCTTGAGATGAAAAAAAAACTCCTGTCCTATAAATGACACTTCAGCTATGAAATGAGCTTTAAAGGAGAAAAAAAAACCATGCAATAAATATTGTAGTAACTTCATGTATCAGTAATTTGCTGAATTACATATTTTTTTTAATTTTAGTATGAAACCAAAGAAACTTTCATGGCCCAGATTGAAGATGATTGCGGGCCATAGTTTGGAGAATCCTGTTATAAACCATTTATTATACATGTATTTCAAAAGTTCAATCCAAATCATAAAGAATTTTTTAGGAAATGGTAAACAAATTGTTAAATGCATTCTACAGTGGCACTTTTAGTAAGTCCATTTTAAGGAAAATGTTTACGTATAACTCCTTAAATATGTAATTTCAGATCTAGATACTTTTATTTTTTGGGGGTCCAGTTTGTACCAACACCATTTTGTGATACATGGTTATTTATACTTATCTTTGGGGATCTTAAAAATGTACTTCTGTTGAAAACTCAGGTTACAAATTTTCAAAGATTCCGATTCGTTCCCTTAATATATATCTGGTATTTAGGTAAAAATTAAAACATTATCACCTCTACTTCAATACTTTTTTACCATTGTACTGGAATAACAGCAGTTCAGCATATTATTGTTATCTCTTCTTATAACACGAACACTATTAGCCAAGAAACCATTTTTATCACACTACACAATAAACTAAATTAAAATAAACATAAAATAGCACAGCTAATTAATGATCAAATTTACTGAAAATTTAATTAAAGATTGTTATTTAAAAGAAGACAGGTATTTAAATAAGGACCTCCACTCTATTTAGGTTGCCTCTCAAATGAAATTGGTACAAATTCAAATAAGGAAAATAAATAACAGTAAATACATTTCTACAACACATTAATAATGGTAGAAAATAAAGATGATATTTTATTGGATCAATATCTGAAGATCACAATTAAATTACTAAAATCCTACACAATAATGGATGCAATGAAAAAAAAATAATAATAATAAAATGATCTTTTAATACAAACATATATATATTTACATGCAATTATAAAATTTATTATCAAGATAATAATTACAAGATAAAATAAAAATTAATAAATTTGTCAGTTGACTTTCTATTCATATGTCCTTTTCTTCACCAATGATCCCAACTACAAATAAAAGGAAATGGTATTAAATTGATTTTGATTATAATAATTAAACTAATAGATTAATAGGAATTTGAAAAAATTACCAGATCAGATATCGCTGGCAAGTTCATTGTCTGGTCATTGGTACCAGTGTCCATTCCAGGAGGAGGAGGTGGGTTGGTACCATTATTATTATTATTGCCTTTGCTCGGAGGAACAGAGACACCTGGTCGCATGTTCCGGTGTTGGGGGAATGTAGGCATCATTTTTGGTTCACAAGCTAGAATAAACCAAATTTATTTTTATTAAAATCTTCTTTTCATATTATAAGTAATATAATAAATAGGTCAATTAAAATTTTTAAAAAAGAATTATTAGCCTCTACTAATAATTGACTTTAAAAAAATTAAAGATTTTTTTTTTAATACAATTGAGATGTAGTTGACTGTGGAGGGGATAAAAGTGATAATGGTTAGGGTGCACTCAGAAACAAACCATGCAGCAATCAAAAATATTATTTTAAATTGTCCTGATATTTTGAGAAAAGATACAAGAAATATCATCCCCTCCAACTTTGTCTGATTTGTTGATGGGAGACGTTCCCATATCTCCCACGACTATACTGAGTTAGGGTGGTTCTTTCCCTGTTTCTGAAATAATATTTCTTAGGCACATTCCTTACTTCAGATTATCAACAACCATCGTCCTTCCAATGCCTAAGAAGTTCTCCAATTTAAGTCCTCTGTCCACTCCCTTACTACAAGATCGCGATCTTCTGACCTTCACACCACTTTTCACAGATCTGCCTAGTTCCAAAATTCCTTTGTTGCTCGCTCTGCTACTTTCTACAATTCCCTTACTTTGAAAATCTAGAAAGCTTCCCCCTTATCGACATTTAAAATTCTTCTATTCACTAAACAGTCATACTAGCTAAAAGGCTTTTTTATTCTTTCTTTTTATAAGCGCCTTATTATATATAAGTGTGTGTGTGTGTGTGTGTGTGTGTGTGTGTGTGTTTGTGTATGTTTGTGATCAGTCTAGCACAAAAACGAAAAGATGTACGCAACTGAAATTGCATTTATAAGATTTATACATGCCTGTGATGTTACAGCAACATTTTCGTCAAAATCAGCTGACTGGAAGTGCCACTTCATATCATAATTTTTACAATTTTCTCAAAAACATCTGTAACGATTTTGATTAAATTCATTACACCAGTGTAAAATTAAGCATTTTTAATAAAATGTAGGTTTCATTTTTATTGATGTTCTTTAACAGCGTTTAAATGGCTAATTTCAAAAAAATTTTCCTCTAAAGTATCTTTAATTTTTTTTATTTGAAATAATTAACCATTTCACATTGAGAACTGATATAAAAAATGGTTAAATATCACGAATGAACACAATTAATTGGTTTGTAACTAAAGGAGAAATAAGAATTGGAAGCTATCATCTCCGTTTACAGGTACCCCATACTTTTCCACAGAGCTCTCATATTATTAATTTAACTTTTATATATCACTTATCCATATTTTTTCAAAAAGGTTTTCATGCTAAAATTGAGGATCTACTAATAAAAATCCAATATTTACTAACATTAAGTTATTTTTTCAACGAGTTTCATGATAAATGTTTCTGATAAAACATTTTTCCGCACAATCATTATTAATATTTGATACAGTCATAAAAGAAAATGGAAAGTGATGCAATCATATAAATTTAACATATACGATGAGTGGGAAAAATATGGTAATTAATTGTTTTAAATGAAGTTATACCGCCGTTTTCACTTTGACTTCCCTATATATGAAAATACCAATCTACTCTAAGATTGGTAAGTGAAAGTTGAGTGATACGCGCACTGTGCCAGATTTTTTTAATAATTTGTCTCTTGAATGTATAGCTATTTATTTAGATGTGTATATAATTGATTTAATTAATAGATGTATTTTCTTGTATTCATTGGAGACTTGGAACTCATCCATTAGAGGAGTTTAAAATTTAATTTAGTTATCCTTTCTATTTTTTTATTTTTCTCTTATAAGATATGAACATTTTATATCATTTATCAATCGTTTTGTATATAGTTTGAAGTATCTTGCACACAGTTTCAGTTGTTCCGTATTGTATACATCATTAGTTTATTTAATTTTTTTTTTGCTTTCTTTAATTTTAATTACTAGTTGGCCCGTGCGAATAGTTCACAGAAAATTTTGTTTAGTGAAGAAATAGCAAAACAATAAGGAAATAAGTAGTTCCTATTTATTATGTAAGGAAGGAATTAATATTTTTTCCTTCGTCGATTACAATGGCCTGATCATGGGATTTTCTAAATTATTAAAAAAGTTAAAATGTAAGAACAACCAAATGTCTTAAAGAAATAATAAAGTTAATATATCAGCCAAGAAAAAAAGTGTAGTAGACTATTCTACTCCTAAATGCAATATATTTAAACAGAAAGACATTATTAAGTCAGAGATGGGCAAAATCGTAATCAATGATTACATGATTACAACTGAAAATAAAACTTTATGACCACGCCAATTTTATACTTGATACACTAGCACTATAATTATAGCAAAAGTATGAAACGATTACCTGATTACATGATTACAATCGTAATCATAAACCTGATTACGATTACAATCATGTAATCAAGTAATCAAAATCAATGTAATCGTAATCATGTAATCGAATTCACTGTATTCATAATCAAGTAATCAAAATCACTGTAATCGTAATCACGTAATCATAATCGCGTAATCGTAATCAAAAAATCAAATACACACAATTTTCCTCTGTTTAGAAATAGACTAAAAGAAAAACTAGTATAAAACATTTTCTATTTTCTTTTAATTTCCGGGAACACTTTCTATGATAATACCGTCGGTTTACCGATTAACATTTTCCTAATTTTCATTCCCTTTTCATCCTTTACCTCATGAATGAAGGGTCAGGTGTTTACCGTTCCAACACTTTTCGGCTATGTAGAGAAAAGTGGAAATGGGAATAGGGTGTAGAAAATTTTCCGAATTTTCATTCGCTTTTCCTCTTTAAACTCATAAATGGATGCTCGGTTTTTCACCGTTCCTACACTTTTCCGGCTACATTGATGTAAGCGAATATGGATAATTAGTGTAGAAAATTTTCCGAATTTTCATTAGCTTTTCCTCTTTAAACTCGTAAATGGATGGTCACTTTTTCACAGTTCCAACACTTTTCCGGCTATATTGATATAGGCGAATATGGAGAATTAGTGTAGAATTTTTTTTGAATTTTCATTCACTTTTCCGCTTTTATCTCGTGAATAGAGTGTCGGTTTTTCACCGTTCCAATCATTTTATAGCTGTTTAGAGGAAGGCCAATGGAAACAGAAGTGGTACAAATTTTCATTAACTTTTCCTATTTTTTCTTGGAACTGAAGGATCAGTTTTCCACCGTTCCAACAGTTTTCCGGCTTTTTAGAGGTAAAGAAAAATGGGGAAATTTTGAAGAAAATTTTCCAATTTTCATTCACTTTTCCTAAGATAAAAGATTTAGATAAAAGAGGAAAAGCGAATGGAAATTCAGAAAATTTTCTACACCATTTCTCCGTTTTTTTCTACATCTATATAGTCGGAAATATGTAGGTGAAAAACCGAACATCCATTCACGAGATAAAGTGGGAAAAGCGAATGGCAAAATTTCTCTGTTTTTGCCTACCACCACATAGCCGGGAAACTGTTGGAACGGTGAAAAACCTGATCCTTCATTTTCGAGATAAAAGAGGAAAAGTAAATGAAAATTCGGCAAATTTGTACCACTCCCGTTTCCATTGGCTTCCCTCTAAATAGTTATAAAATGGTTAGAACGGTGAAAAACTGAGACCCCATTCACGAGATAAAAGAGGAAAAGCAAATAGAAATCCGGAAAATTTTCTGCATTCATTCTCTATTTTTGCCTACATCTACATAGTCAGCAAACTGTTGGAATGGAGAAAAACCTAGCATGCATAGACAAGATAAAAGAGGAAAAACGAGAGGAAATTAGAAAAATTTCTACACTAATTCTCCATTTTTGTCTACATCAATATAGCCGGAAAAGTGTTGGAACGGTGAAAACCCGAACATCGATTCACATGATAACAGAAGAAAAGTGAATGGAAATCCGGAAAATATTAAATGTTAACCGACGTTATTAACAAAGAAGGTAAAGAAAATAGAAAATGTTTTATTCTTGTTTTCCTTTAAGCCTATCTCTAAAAACAGGAAAATCGTGTGTATTTGATTTTTTGATTACGATTATGCGATTATGATTACACGATTACGATTACAATGATTTTGATTACAATGATTATAATTACATAATTACGATTACGTGATTATGCGATTATAATCAAAATCAAAAACCGTGATTACGATTACAATCGTGTAATCAATTAATTGTGATCTTTTTGATTATAATCGTAATCATAATCGTTGATTATGATTATGCCCATCTATGTATTAAGTATACCAAAATTAATGGACTGTATCTGTGTCAATAATTGTTGGATTTTTACGATTTTTTTTTATTGTTATCTTTTTAATTATCATGGTTACAATCAAGTAAAAAATGCATACTTTTTGAGTTATTCGCAAATAAAGTTCCTTTTCCTTCATAACTTTTTTCCCAGAAATTTCATGGGGATAGGACTATTTTGTATCTATGTGAAGGAGAAGAATATCTTCAAAATGAGTGGTCAATCATTGGATTTGATGAAGAATTGACGAAGTTATGGCGTAGTGACAAAAAAACACCTTTTAGAAATAATATATAGTATTGGAGACTAGGTGCTCAGTTATTAGAGGAGTTTAATTTTTTTTTCTTTCTAAGCAGCGATTATTTTTATCATTTCTCATTTGTTTTGTTTTGTATAATGTAACTGACCAGAAACAATCTTTTTTACTTTCCTACCTATACTAGGTAAGGAAAGTATTGCAATCGGGTCAAATTTCCGATATGCGACTTTCGACGGATCTATACGTTACAGAATCCACTGAGTCCGAAAAACACATTTTTAGCCATTGGTCTGTCTGTCTGTCTGTGCCAAGATTTTCTCGGGAACTACTGAACTGATTTTGTTGCATCTTTTTTTATTTTGTAGAGTTTTGACTACTGATGCCTGTGACAGAAATTCGGTGCTCCATTCACAATAGCTTGCGCGCAATAAATGAAAAACATGTTTTCGTATAGACAGTAGCGCAAAAACGGCTCTAACAATTTTAATGAAACTTTCCTATAATGTTCTAATCATTGTTCTTTCAATTTTCGTAAATAGAGACTAAATTCCCCAAAAAATTCAGGAAAAAAAGTTATAAAGCAAAGAAAAATGTTATGGGGCCTAACTCCCTAAGTATATATTATACGGTAAAATTTATAATAAAACTTTTGAAAGGTAACTAAATTACCGACAAAACAAAAAAAAAAAAATCATCGGAATCAAACCAGTATTAGCGATGATGCAGCTTATTCTTTTTTTAATACATTTTTTAACTTATTACTTTCCTACCTATACTAAGTAAGGAAAGTATTGCAATCGGGTCAAATTTCCGACATGCGGTTTTCAATGGATCTATACGTTTCAGAATCAACTGAGTCCGAAAAATACGCCGTTAAGCCTATCGTTTGAAAGGTTATCGTTCATTTTGGACAACTATTAACGAAGTTACAGCTATTCAGTTTCCAATGAAAGATTACGAGTTCATTTCCTGATGTCAGAAAGGGGTGAATGAGAGAATAAAGATGACTGACTAAGTGGAAGTAAGAAAATCTGCCCGCATCACGCAATCTTCACTATTTCCTCTACTTTTAACAGAAATTATTGTTTGACAATACTAAGCTATAACAAAAAGTTTTTGATCAGCAATATTAGTGAGTATTGAAATTTTGACACTGATCTACCTTAAGTCGGTTTCATTGCTTTAGTTTATCAAATAAATTGTACTCAAATCTTTTGTTTGATCAATTTTCAGGAAAATAAATTTAGTTCAATTCTTTTTTGTTTGTTCATGAACATATGTAAAGATATAAAAACTTTTCTGTGGACACAACTGATTTTTTTTTTTTTTTTGTACAACTATGTTATTTCATATCAGAATAAAGTATTTTGTCTATTCTATTCTATAATGTATTTAATATACATTGTTTTTCACAGCTCTGATGACGGCGTGAAAGTAAAACCAAAATGTTTGTACTCCTTCAACAGTTTTTTTGTTTTAAAAAGTCACAAGTTCATTTTTGAAATAGGTTAACTTTCAAATATATTTTTGTGAATTTTGATTTTATTTATCAATCTAAAATAGCTGCATAGAACTAATTTAATCAAAATTGCTGGAGCCGTTTTAGAGAAAATTAAAAACGTTTAAAATTAATAATATTAGGTATTCCACTTCCTGCTCGTCAATTTTGTCAATGCTATGACATCCTAGGCATATATGAATCATATGATATAATTTAGTTTCATATGCTATTATATTCACATATAAAAAAACACACCCATAGACTATTTAGAAAAACTTGATCAATTGGATTAAGGTAGGTAAATGGAAGAAAAAATTCAATTAAAAAATATTATAGAAAAGGAAAAAAAAATTAAACTAGATTTCTAAAAACTAATACTTACGGAGAGGTGGTTCCTTGAAATAAGAGCTCTGAAGGCATTCCTCAGCAGTTGCTCTCTTTTTTGGATCATACATAAACAAGAAGTTAAGAAGGCGAAGTCCAGCTGCAGACAGCCATGGGAACCTAAGAACATTATAATAAGGTACTACCAACAAAAATGGATAATTGAGGCATACATTTCCAATATCAGTCAACTCAATTTTCAATTTTTTTTTCTTTCTTTCGAAAACAGTTCATTGACATGTCATTTACTTAAACTGTTTTTGACAAAAAAAAAGATTGATTAGCTCATCATAATCTAGTAGCAAAACTGTAAATAAAAAAAAATATGAAAATTAAGTTAGATGGTTTTTGAATTCTATATCTCCACTTTTTTATCTTACAGATAAATAATATATCACATTAATAAAGACTTTACAAACAAAAATAGCCATTTTTTTTTTAATTTCTTAAACAATTCACAAACGGAAATTTGTAAAAATAACTATAACGTCAGTAAAAAATAAATGTGTTATGTCATAAGTCATAACAAGGATAGAATATACTTTCAACCAGCAGGTATTAAGAAATTAATGTTCCCTTTTGGAGATACCCTTAAAGGAGTTTTGTATTAGATCAAGAGTTTTAGATAATTAAATAATAAATAAATTTACCTTTGTTTAAGATTGTTATAAGGCTGATGTTTCAGTGAGAAGTTGGCAAGAGCCGGCAGGCTTGAATACTCTGGCCAAATAGAATCAGAAGGTGTTCCTAATAGTTCAACAATCAGCTCTAGTTGTGATAATTCTGAGCGACCAGGAAGTAACGGCCTGTGACCTGTTATAAATTTGATAGAATACTTTGTAGTGTTTAAATTAAAATAACTAATATATTTATAGAAATGATTTGTTTTCCAAAAACAAATCAATAAAATATTAAAATTTTAATTAGTTTACCTAATAATTCTCCTAAAATACATCCTGCAGCCCACATATCTACCGAAGTAGTCTGAGTTTTTGCCTGAAGTAAAAGCTCAGGAGATCTATACCACAGAGTAACTACTCTTGGAGTCATAGGTTGTACAGGCAAGCCAAACCACCGAGCTAGACCGAAGTCAGCTAAAATAGTTAAACATTTTTTTTTTTAAATGTTTATTCAATTAAAATAATCTAAGAAAACAAATTTATTATTGCATTTTGATTATAAATAAATGTCATAATAAACTAACAAGATCAGGTTACTTACCAATTTTAACACAACCTTTATCAGTCATTAACAGATTGGAAACTTTAAGATCCCTATGGACAATAAAATTACTATGAAGATACTTGAGGCCTTTTAATACTTGTATCATGATACATTTGACTTGGGCTTCCGTAAATGGTGTCTGCATGTTGTCTAAAAGACTGGCTAAATCCTGTTCACAATACTCCATCACAAGGAATATGCTGAACATAAAAATATTACAACGTTATAACCAATGGACAAAACTGATATTTGTTTAATTTTTATTTTTAATCTTACCTTTCTAAACTTCTTCCAACAACTACCTCCTTTAATTCAACAATATTTTCATGTTGGCAAGTAAGAAGAACGGATATTTCTCGAAGACCACTCAGTGGTAAGCCATCTCGCTCTTGTTCCATACGAACTTTTTTTAATGCAACTATGTTATCATTTTTAGTGTCACGTGCCCGATCTGAAATAACAGAACAGTTAAATTGCTGACCAAGAATTATTTCTTTTTTTTTTTTTATAATAACTATTAATTTTATGGAAATCAAATGAAAACTAAACTAAAATAATATGTAAGATATTCAGAGACAAATATTTTCAATACAAGCAGTTCTCACAAGGGCCATTGTTTATGATATGTATGATACAAAATCAAGTTAAATATAAATTTTTAAAAAAAAGGGAAATTGGGGTCATTTTGATATATTTTCTCTGATTTGAAAATTAAATGAGAATTTCTCCAAAAAAAAATAAATAGGTTTAAAAAATTCAAATATTTTTATCAATGTAATTTTTACAGAATGAACATGTTGCAGTTTTCTACCCTATTAAATATTAACTTTAATTCTTTATTAGTACATAAAAAAATAACAAACAACCTATCTACATTGTAGTAAAACAAACTATAGATTATACATGAATTATATTTTGCAATTAAAATTAATATTCTCAACTTTTGTAGTAGATATTCATATTTCTTTAATTTAAAGTTGAGTATTTGCATAGCACAGTTTTTTCCAGTAATGCTTTGACCTCCCTGGAAATTTTTCAAATTTTTCTAGGCACTTTGTTTTATTTTCTATCTATTATAATGTGAATAAGACACCAAATAGTAGAACTTTTCAAATATAATTGCATTAAAAAATGTCAACATTATATTGTTTAATCATTTAAATACAAATATCCTAGAAATATCCTGTTGCAATTTTTCTCTATGCCAAGAGATGTCAAATTTTAAGGTTTCGATGCATACATCAATATCTTGTACAGAAAATTTACTATTTCTGGCAAAACATAGATAAAGTTCCACTTGCCGCCAATCCAATCTGACTTTAGTGAAATCCATCCACAGTTGAATAGGATACTCATCACATGGAATTTTTGAGCTTTTTAAGTTTCTATAAATGACAGAAGTAGTGTTGCCCAAATGCGAGACCCAGACGAGTCTTGGTCTTGCAAACTCAGTTTGGTCATGATCTTGGTCTTGCACAAGAGTCTCGCAACAGTCTTACAGTACTGTATTTTGTAGATAGGAGAAACCTAACTAAGCCTGAATGAAAAATTAGAGGAATTAAATGCAAAACTATATTGGTTATACCAATTATTTACATATAGTAACTAACATTGTCGAGTATTAGAAACTATTTTGCCTTATTTTTTTATTAAAAACATCAATTTTTTTTACCAGTCCTGGTCCTGGTCTTGCAACAGTTAGGCGGTCTTGGTCTTGCAAAGTGCAAAACCAAGACCGATTTTGGGCAACACTAGACAGAAGAGATCATATATTCTTTTCCTTGTCTAACCTCTTAAAAGCTGGTGCGCACAACACACAACTTTCACTTACTGCTCAACTTTGAATAGAAATTATTTTCTGCCCTTGTTGGGCTATTATAAAGTTTTTGATTTGCATTTTTAACCGAGCTAAAGCTAAAAGCTAACAGCTAACAAATCATAAATACCATTAAAATAACAAAAGGCCTATTTATTATGTCACCAGTTGATTATGGATTGTACGACTATTAGTTATTAAATTGTAAATTTCCATTGCAAAGTTTACTAAAATGGAATTAAGAGATTTGCATTATCTGTCATAGACAGGTCAAATGTAGTCCCACTAATTGTATGAGGATACAGTTGGGATTTCACAAAGCGAAAATTCAACAAATTATTCAATAATTTAATTTTCTAAAATGTTACATGACGATTTTTTGGAATAAATTGATGTTGATACCTAATTATTTAAATAAAATATCAGATCTAGAATTATTAAACTACAGTAAATGTATTTAAGATTATAAACATATCATTTATACATCCATGAAATGATTTTATATTTCACAAAAGTACAATGAAATAGTTTTTTAAGCAATGCCATTGCCTCGATTAGGTGGATTTTAAATACTTTTTCAAATTTCAAAATATTTTAAAAGTTCACATTTAGTTTCCTTAATTAAATGTTTCATTTAATTTCCTTGAAAACATGTGATTTACATTAAATAATATTAATGAAGAGAAGAATAAGAAGAAGGCAAAAATAAATGATATTTATTTTGACATTTGCTGACGTTTCGACCTGAAGTTCAGGCCATCATCAGGGCTGACTGCAATGAAGTAAATCGAAGCAATGTCAATACTTAATGTCGATAATGTCATTGCTTCGATTTACTTCATTGTAGTCAGCCCTGATGATGGCCTGAACTTCAGGTCGAAACGTCGGCAAATAAATATTATCATTTATTTTTGCCTTCTTATTTGACTGATCAACCCAACTTTTCTTCTCTTCATTATTCACGACAGTCAACCATTCACCAATTTTAAATAATATTAGTTTTCAAAAATTATTATTTATAATTTTTTAGCCACTTTTTGTAATCTTCTACAACTTTCTATGTTAGATATAGTTTCTTCTAAAATTCTCGGCTTTCCAATGATATATTATACGTATACCTTCTGACTAGTATTTCTAGAGATTCATTTTTGACCTGGATAAGTATTTTTATTTATTTTTTTCTCCTTTATTCAATTATCAAATTCTTTTAAAAGTTATATTTAGCATTTTGTAGTTACTCTAAATAATGTGAAATAGTTAATTATTTAAAATAAAACATATTAAACGTACTTTAGAGGAAGATGTATATGAAAATTGGATATTCAAGCCCTGTAAAGTAACATCAATGGGGATAAGACCTACTTTATATTAAATACCTTTAATTATACAATGATACACTGAGTTTAATCAAAATCGTTAAGTGCCATTTTTGAGAAAATTGTAAAAATGTGTTTCACCGTTGATATAAAGTGGTATTTGCGGTTAGCCGATTTTAAGTGAAAAGTTGCTGCCACATTTAAGACATATACCTAACTTAAATACTTTATATCAGTTTTGTACGACTCTTTATTTTTGAGCTAGACTGCTAACACACACACACTCAAAGACCATTTTGTGGGACTTCGTTATTTGGGCTCAGGGTATCTCAAAACGTGTATTTCTGTTGAAAACTCACGATTTGAAAATTTTCACATTTGCAATACTTCCCTCACCTAACTATACAGGGTGCTGAGTAATTGCACAGCACTATTTTAGGAATGTGTTCATTGACACAAAATAAACAAAAAAGTTCATATTAACATATATCTCAAACTCCTTTATCAAACAGATATTAAAGGTTAAAGATTTATTATTTATTTACTAGATTAAGACTAACTGTACAAAGTTTAACGTGTTTAATACTAAATAACAGGTTTTAATCACCTGATAAAACAAATGAATGATAAGCAATGGCAGTAGTAGCTCATCCGTTTGTCTAGTTCTGTGTCTGAAGAGCTAAGAAATCGGATCGTGGAAGCCATTGTAACCATCAAACACCACCCTGATGCTATATAAAGAGAGATGGATCCGTCGCGCTGAATGTTGCATTTAACAAAACGGAGGCCCCTTTGAACAGTTACACTAAATGTTGTAATAATAATAAATAATAAATCTTTAACCTTTGATATCTGTTTAATAATTGAGTTTGAGATATATGTTAATATGAACTTTTTTGTTTATTTTATGTTACTGAACATATACCTAAAATAGTGCCGTGCAATTACGAAACACCTTGTATATTACATATATAGATAAGTGAAAGTAAAAAACTACTAAAGATGAATACAAAACAGAGAAAATGTTATAAAACAGATGCTGCATTAACCCATTGGCAATACTTGATTAAGATAAAGATTAGTTTAAGTAAGTTAGCCTTCCAATGTGGAACAACAATGCTATTTATGGTGGAAGAGGGAAACTAATTACTTACTGAGTTAACTATTACTGCAACAAAGCCGTTATAAAGTACGTATCTTCCCCAATTATGTGTATTGAATGGATTTACTCAATATTCAGAAAAAAACATGTTTCTCCAATATCACTTATACTTTGAATGAATTAGGGAGAAGAATGGTAGATATCTAATACAAGAATTTTACATGGTTATACTAGTAAAATGCAAAATGTTAAAAAAGTAGCAATAATTTCAGTTTTAGTAAAGAAATAATAAAACTTACAAACTATTCCGTAAGTTCCTTCACCGATTCTATTCAGCTTTTCAAATTCTGAAACTGATCTACAGCGCCCCATCTGGAAAAAACAATAAAACAATTAAATAAAAAGCACAAATATAGAATTTATGAAGACATTTCCAAATATTTTTTATATCATGAACTGTTTTTATTTTAATAATTATTGCAATTTTTCATAATACAAACAAATAAAATTTATATAACTAGATATGATAATATAAACTCTTCCTCTCTCGATCATAGGTACCTCAAGTCAACAACATGAGACATGTATCCCATGTTAGCACTATAATTAACATGAGGTGTAGCTACGAACCGTGAGCCTAAAATTATCTCGAAAATAGTAATTTTTGGTCTTGAAAACGCAGAGCCCGGTAGTTTCGTAAGAGCTAACTTCATGGAGTCCGCATCGAAATATTTAAATCTCAGTTTCAAATCCTGCATCAATCCATCAATTCACCACTGCTCCAGTACTGAAGCCTAGAGAAATGTTTATATTGACTTTAGAAAGAAAAACAAGACCTGAGATTACAATTCGCTGACTCACCGAGAAATTCTGAACCTAATTAATGGTAACCCATTCACGGCATTTGAGCATGAAAGGAGCTTATATTTGGTACAAAACTGATTTCGAGCTTTACTGTAATAATATATGCAGGGATAACTGGAAAGCGAAGAATAGAAAAATATTCTCCGATAGAAAACAAAGAAAAAGAAAGTACAAAATAAATAAATGATAAAAACTGCAGCTGTCAGATATATATGATACGGAATATAGGTATTCCTATAAATAAATTAGAGCTTGTAACATCATACTCTGTAACTGATTGAAACCTCATATTAATATTTTATTTCATTAATAACAATAATGATAAAGATCATGTGATCACTCTGTTCCTGAAATGTCAAAGCTAACCGAGCATGTCTCATTTTTTGACAGATTACATTAGGTTGAATCTATCCGAAATAGACCATTTACATGCTAATTTTATATAAATCTTATTTAACCTTATCTTTATTAATTTTTGTTTAAATCCAATGATTGAGATATCATTTTGAAGATAATGTTCGCCTTCAGGTGTGAAAAATAAACTTATTTCTGCATATCTTATTAAAGCATAAAATTTATGGTTAGTTAAAACTATAATAATTTGCTAATTTCCATATGAAACTAAAAAAAAAATATCAAAATCAACATTTTTAGCAATGGTACAGCCAATAGCAATTTTTACACATGTTTTAGTTGATTGGTTTGAATGAACCATCGTAATTGACAAAAATAAGAAAATTAATTGCTCCCTCTCATAATATATTTCATTTACTAATTCCATATTATATTCCTATTTAGCCGATGACCAATATACTATAAGGATTATTTGCTTAATTATTGATTATTAACAAGACAAAAAAAATAGATATCTACATATGTACGTTTAAAACATCTATTATAAATATCTTAGCAGCAAGATACACTCACAAAACAAATAGTAAAATATAATTTAAAATCTTTATGGCAGTATGTATATACAAAATATTCTTAATGACACGTTTGTAAAATGATAACTGACTATATTATCTAGTGGCCAGATACCATATATATGTCAATTTTAGAAACAACTATTACAAGAAATTATATACATTTGTAAACTTCCATATTTCACACAAGGCTATAAAAATACACACAACTGATCTTGATCATTGGTATACTATAAAGTTGGTCATAAAGCACTGTTTTAACTTGCCATTTGTTTCTCCAATTTCTAATATAATGACCATTATTTTTATAGAATTCATAGCTTCATAAATATTGTTATTTTAATTTATTGAGGTTGATAATAGAAGGAATTATGATTACCATTATTCAGGAACATATAAAATGTGTTATGTTCATTAATTTGGCATGCAATATAACCTATTCACAACTTATAATTCATTTTACGAGGAGTTATGGTTTTAATCAGCAGTAAGTATAAATTTGAGGTTATTTCGATATTCCGCATTTAATATAACCTAAGCATTTGTGACGTTGATTCAAAACTCAAGTTTTGAGGATTCTGTTGTTATAGAATTATCTAAATCTAGAATTATGAAGTTCAGTACCTAAACTCTATGGTGTTAATACTACTACGTCTACTAATTTACTATTGTTAGTGAAGAATAATTTAAATTAAAATATTGTATTTAAATAACTTACAACATCAGCTTCAGGAATTTCCATGGATTCACCAGAAACCAAAGACATAAGAACTCCTTTTCGATTAACAGGTACATCCTTTTCTGAGCTTTCTTTATTTGGATCCTTCTTTTCAGTAATTCCCTTGAATTTTTTGCCAAAAGTCCCTAGGAACCAAATAAACCGTAAGAAACAGTTATAGGGTATAATATTTACACTTGACTACTTTAATGTGGGTACATGTACATTATAAACAAAACAATATAAGCAAATGAAACGGACCTCTTTCAACTTCCATCATTATGAAATTAAATTTTTTAATAATGTATTTAACCGGAATAGAAACAATCCCAGATAACCTTATTTAATATTTACAATCTATATTCTCATTAATCTCCTTAAAGACCGGCAAGCTACCTTAACACTGCCACTGCTTACAGAATAACAAACAATGTAAATAAAATTTTAAATGCTATAACTTAGTTGTTTTAGGACTTACAAAAATTACTGTATTAAGTATCGATCAATTTTTTTTTTGTATCATGAACAAAGTAATATGCTGTATCTAAAAGCCCGCCTTTTGTGGAATATTTGAATTTCAATCTTCTACCTTAATCAATATTCGTGAATATTGTTTGATTTATATATTAACTAACCAGAAAAATCATTCTATATAAAACTTATTATTATAAGGCCAAAATAACCCAGAGTTACTATACTAAATTAGCAAATTCGGAAACAGATTCTCAAAAGTTCTTGCATCTCCTACCATTACTTAGTAAAAACCATAATTTATAACTCATCCCAAACATTGAAAAAAAAATTGTTCGATTAAATAAATAAACAATTCCTTCAAAATTTGATAAATTACCTTTTTTTGTAGTTGCAAGTACTCTAGACATGATGGGAAAAAATTAAACTGAAACTTCTACCATCTGCTGATAGGATTAAATGACGACGTGTCCTACAGTAAAAAATGACGATCATACATAATATTATTACAGATAATGGTACTTTTTGTTATACGCACAACCAAAAAAATAAACAAATAATGTAAAAATTATTATTTATTAACGTCATATGATTAATTTATAAATTATGCTATTATATAAAAAGAATGTACGTTTTTATTTGTAACTGCTAACCAAGAAACCTACTGAAGCAATTCGCATGATTTTTACTTTCAATTACCCAGTATATGTAATATATAGTTAAGAGAAAGTATTGTGATCGTGATAATTTTCGAATTTGTGTTTTTAACTTATTTCATACATACATATATATCTAACCCTAGATCAGGGGCGTCGAAACTACGGCCCACAAGCATTGATTGACACTTTCATTCAGCAATTACAGAAATTTTCCATTCATGTTTGATACACCGAGATTCAATTATATTATTACTTTCACTTACCTATCTATGTAACATATGTAATATATGTGAAAATTTTCGAATCTGATTTTTCAACGGAAATACACGTTTTGAGGTACCCTGAGTCCAAATAACCAAGTCCCGCAAAATGGTGTGCGTGCGTTGGTGGGTGCGTGCGTGTGTATGTATGTGAACAGAAAAATTGTACGAAACTGAGGTTACAGCAACATTTTCATCAAAATCGGCAAACCGGAAGTGGCACTTTATATAATCGGTTTAACACATTTTTACGATTTTCTCAAACACGGCTCTAACGATTTTGATTAAACACAGTATATCAGCGTGTTACTAACTATATTTTTTAATTTAATGTAGGTTTTATTCTCATTGGTGTTCTCTAGCAGGACTTAAATGGCTAATTTTCAATATTAGTTTCCTCTAAAGTATCTCTAATTTTTTTTTTATTTGAAAGAATTAACTATTTCACATTAATCTTTAATATAAAAAATAGTTAAATATAAATTATGAAATAATGAGATAATTAACCTAAGGAGAAATAAAAGATCGTAACGGATAATAGTTATGATGGAAAAACCAAAGGAATATGAGCGCGACCGAACCCACCCGAAATATTACAACAGGCTTCCATACGTAACATGAGCTTAATAATATAATATAGTATACTATATAATAATATATGAGCTTAATACGGACTCCCACTAGCGGATCCAAGATTTAATTTTTGGGCGCTTCAGCCCGAAAGCTTTTTTGTTTTCATAAAAATAACGATAATTAATTTGGAAAAAAACGAAATTAACTAACTACCTATATGAAATGGTGTTTAAGTGATTCCTAAAGTCCTTTTAAATGTGATTACACGAACAATAATAGTTTAAGAGATAATCTTTTAATATTTTTTTCTATAAAATATGGTTATATTTTACCATTTTGGGGGGCTTCAGCCCGAAAGCCCCACCGTAGATCCGCCCTGCAGACTCCAACAATATATTGTGCGTATACATATGCGGTTTTCATAAATGCTATCGTTGGTATCATTTAATATTTAATTGCATAGAATAAAGCGATATAAAAATTAAAATTTGTCTACATAAGGGAATTTAAAAAAATAAAAATGACCACAATGAAATAAAAATAAATATAGCGTCTATAATTTTTACTTTCACTTCCCCTTTGTCTGATAATACTTATTTCTGCTAAGAGGGTAGTAAATGAAAGTCGTGTGATGCGAGCACTAGATTTTTTTATGTTACATCATTTCAACATTAAATTCACTTTTAGTAAATTGTTTGTAAAGTAGTTCTGTTAAAAGGAATTTAAACAAAGAGTTATTTCCAGAAGCGAGAAAATAAATACTAAAGATTAAAGGTGCAACGACTGCAGAGGAAATGGCAAAAGAGGACAGACTTTATAACAACACTTTTAAGTTAGGAGTTGAATGTCGCCGGTTCCATCAAACACTACAGGAAGTGTAAAGAGAACTTTTTTAAAAGCCTTCAACAGAGCGGCCAGGCTTTCCAATTACGGAAGCCATTGTGTGTAATGGATTAGTCCAACTATTGTCTTCCGGGTAGATTTCTGTCGGAGGATGTAAGAACTGGAAAGAAGATTGTGGCCGGAATTGTCAGGAAGGGAACTGTATGAACGGAGTTCTCAATATAATGAATGAAGATGACAAAAAAGATTTGGATAATCTCCCTGCATCTACAGCGGATCATGAATCCTGTTTTTCGGATGAAGTTTTTGCTGTCACCATTATAGGAATTGGAGCTTACAGTTAAACCCTCTCCTTCTAAAAGAGGAAGTTCAAATAAAACTGTATTTTAATGCCTTTATTCGTTAATATATTTTGACGTCTGTAGTTTTACTAAATGAAATTTGGGCATTTATTTTGTGTTTTTATCTTACAATTGTTTTCCTCTCCGGTTTTCAATTTAGTGAAATCAACTTTAAAATTGTCATCTCCAAGAACCTAACGCATTCCATTTTTTTTCTACTATTTTCAACATTAATCTATAGTGTTTTATATTTTTCAGGGCAATAGTAATATTTTAATCATCTAGGAGTGACACAATACTCCACTTACTTCTTTCTCAAAGTCTTCTCAAAAAGTTTTAATATATTTCTTGTTACTATAACCAACTCAATGCCTCTCTTAAAAGATTGTTACTTTTTTCTAGTGTTTCATTTTTCATACATAAATACGATTTTTATTACAATCAAATATACTTTTGTTTTAGCTTGCACGAAAAGATGTCAATAAGTAGCTTCTTAGAATAAAATGGGACCAAATATCTTAAATCACAATCAAATACAGCAAAAATGTTCTTACTGCATTGAAAATATTGAATATTTATGTTCAAAAATAAACAAATTACAGTTTTTCATACGTATTGACGAAATTTAATAACATTTAAAACTGCTGTAACTTTAGACTCGTAAAACATAAATCAGTAGTGTTGAGGACCCCAGAGTCCAAATAACCAAAGTAGGTCTCATCCCCATTGATGTCACTTTACAGGGCTTAAATGCCCAATGATCATATACGTCTTCCTCTAAAGTACCTTTAATATATTTTATTTTAAATAATTAACTATCTCACATTATTGAGAGTTACGACAAAATACTAAATATAACTTTTGAAAGAATTTGATAATTGAATAAAGGAGAAAAAAATAAAAATGCTCATCCAGATCGAAAATGAATCTCCAGAAATACTAATCAGAAGGTATACGTATAATATATCATTGGAAAGCGGAGAATTTTATAAAAAACAATATCTAATATAGAAAGTTTTAGAAGGTAACGGAGAGTGGCAAAACAATCCAACAAAAAAAAACTATTTCATTGTACTTGTTTGAAAGAAGAAGTAAAATATAAAATCATTTTATGGATGAATAAAGCATATGTTTATAACCTTAAATATATTTACTGTAGTTTAATAACTCTAGATCTGATATTATATTTAAATACTTAGGTATCTACCTTCCGTTTCTTCCGAAAAATCATTATGTAACCTTTTAGAAAATAATTTTCTTTTTATTTTAATGAAATTTACAACTTTATTACATGGAAAACACAACAAGTAAATGTGACATTGGTAACATGACATGTACAACGTGAAGAGAAACTACTCATTGGTAGAACTCAAATTAAAGTTCTATATTAGAAGGTCCCGAGGCCATCTTCTTTTCAGACGCCTCGGAGGATTATCAGGGATCGAGGAGGAAGCAAGGTTTGAAACGAGAGGATTCGGATGGTTCTGCAGTTTGTTATGGAAGGATAGGTATAAGGATTGGGCCAAATCGGAAACATATGGCACATTAAGGTCTTTATGGATTATTTTATTTGTGACAAAGTAAGGAGCGTTGAGGATTTTACAAAGGATTTTGGATTGTAAGGATTGGATACGAGAGGAATTCGATGGTGTAGTAGAGCGTGTGTATAATACAAGAATTCAATGTCGAAAAAGTTTTTCATTGAAAGTTGCTTTGGACACGTCAACGAAAAACATTGGCAACGGTGTTTTAAATCTTGAAATAACATTTACAACATTGGATGCCTCGTAACCATAGTTGGTAAGTTCGTGTTTTATAGTGGCTGGAGGCGTGGTGTAAATTTTTAATGACGATTCGCGGGGTTTTATCTCCCGGGAGTTGATACGTGTGAAAATCAGCTCCACCCTTTCTAAGACTGGTCACTAACCTACGGTATACTTCTACATTTTCTGGATACACACTGACTCCTCTTATAGATGTTTTTAATCTGAAACTGTTAGGGCCACCTTCATTGTGAAGATAGGTTACTAAGGCCGTGTAGTCTTTCACGTCGTTTATGTGAATCAGTGGAGGTCTAATAATAATGGGATTATTATTTGCAGGCTTTCTATCTTCCGGAGTACTTGATAAAACTTCAAATCTATTGTTAGTAACAATAGTTTCACTAACCTTTATTTGTTTATAACGTGGATCTCTGTCTGAAGCTATATGTCGTTTTCGTCCAGACACGACTTCCCAGGACATAGCTTCTTGTGCATTATCGTTGTTGACTTCAATTGGTGAACCGTTTGAAGCCGATGGTTCCGTCATTTTTAGCGGAAGAATCCGCTGCACCGGTAATTTTACTTCTTTTGATTGCATTTATTTAACTCACAAATAGTGGAAGATATAAATGAAATTAACATGCAGTTAATTCACTTAAACTTGTGATAATTCTATAGAATTTGGAGAGAGAAATAAATTACGTTTGTAACCTTCAATCAACTAAAATTATAACTAAACATTTCTCTTAAATCAATGTCTAATTAAATTTTAAATACATTTTCCATACTGAGAGATACCAAACTTAAATCAGAAACAAAAAGTGAGAACATTGTTTTTGTATTTTTCCCGACAAACATAAGTAGAATTTAAATATTCGTAGGTTATATACAATTACACATACTGCGGTCTGTTCCATGCTTCCACATGTCTTTTAATTTGAAACTTTTCATTTTGAAAATTGATAAACCCGTGGAAATGTGCTCTCCTCAAAAATTGAAAACCCCGTCAAAAAGTGCCCCCCTCATAAATTTTGATGGCACAACTTGCGCAATGAAGCCCCCTACTGTGCACCCCAGCTACAGATACAAATTTCAAGTACAAATACAAGCTTCAAGTATGTTTGAAATATTCTCTATTACCAGAGTAAATATTTCTAATA